AGACACAGAATCGGAAACAGGCTCCAGGCTCCAAGCCATCAGCCCAGAGCCCGACGCGGGGCTGGAACTCACGGACCGTGAGATCGTGACCTGGCTGAAGTCGGACGCTTAACCGACTGCGCCACCCAGGCGTGCGACTGCCCCTTCAAACTGAGAACCCAAGAACAGTTCGTTGTGCCCTGAAGCTCAGACTCAAGGGCAGGTAGGTGGGGGGACACCTGCCTCAGAGCAGGACCTGGGAACACTGTGCTCATCCCGTGTGCCCCAGAGACGGCTGGTAACCCACCCCGCTCCCGCTTCCTGTCTCCTGCCACATCCCAGCCCCGTGAGCACTCTCAAACCGTCCTCCGCTTCAAGCCGTTTGAAGGAACGAGCTCATCCCCTGCGTCCAACTCATAAACGACCCCACTGTGAACATCCACACACAGAGAAGGCCATCGGACCACTAACCTTCCCCCAAGGTTTATTTTCCCCCTTGGAAGTTCATCTTGACTAAAACTGGAAACGTCACTTTTGGCTCCAGGGGCTCCTTATGTTTTCTTTTTACTTCGACCAGTCCCACCCCCTACTTTGAAGATGAGCTTAGCACCCCCTTTCCTTCACCATCTCATAAAGGTCCTACCACACATGGGATCACTTTGACCATCCCTCCCCTGCTGCCTGCAGAAAAATGTCCCCTAGGGTGCACAGGCTATCCTAGTCTGTCATCCCAGCCCTGCTGTTCCCCAAGCGTAACTCACACAGGACACCAGTGGTGGGGAGGGGGTCCCAAGACCCATCTTTTTCTCTCTGCCCTCCTTCCCACTGTCACACCCTTCCCTCTGCCTGGACCACTGCAGTTCCTTCCACTGCTATGTAGCCAAACTTCAAACGTTACCTCCTCCAGGAAGCCTTCCCAAATCTCTGGCTGGCAGGATCTCCCTCCTCTGCACACCACAGCAGTCTCCCTATCCCTTTTACAGAGCATATCCCATGAGACCTTGGGCAATGTGCCACTGAGGCACCTCAGCTTGCCCCCTCTGGGCTGCTCACACTGGGGACATGGCACAGGGCAACATTAGGACAGAGGGCTCGGAAAGAGACAGATCTGGCCTGCCCCTGAACACCAACCACTCCCAGCTGTGTGATGTTGGGCACGTCATTGCTCTGCTGAGGCACAGAGGTCCACCATGAAGAAGACTGCTCAGGAAAAAAACTCCTACCACCTCACACCCATTAGGATGGCTCCTACCAAAAATAAAACACACAAAAAAAACCCCAAAAAACAGAAAATAACAAGTGTGGGTAAGGATGTGGAGAAACTGGAACCCTCATGTACTGTTGGCAGAAACGTAAACTGGTACAGCCACTGTGGATAACGGTACGGTAGTTCTGCAAAACATTAGAAATATGATTACCATGTGCTCCAGCAACACTTCGGAGAACTGTGGCTTTACGCCCTGCCCCTAAACCATTTTTCAGTTTTCAAGTAGGGTTCAGCTAACCGGGAAAGAACTCCAAAGTGTAAGGCCTGGAGGGCTGCTGAGCTCGGATGAGTGTCACCTCCCCTGTGGGTGAAGGAGAGGTGACAGAGACAAAGAACGAGGCTTTTCTCCCTGGAGACTGATGGGTTGGGCACCAGCCCCCAAGGGCACATGCCAGAGGCAGCTCTTCAGATCGCAACAAAAATAGCAACTTGGGAAGCAGGTGGCCACACCCTCCCCTGTAACTTTGCAGAGAACGGGCGTGCCAAGGTCTGATCCCACAGGATTCAAACCCAGCAAACATTACTGACCTTCAGTCTACCATGCACCCGGCGGCTGGCAAGGTGTTTTCGTTTTAATTCACTCGTTCATATAATAAACACCGAGCACCTACACTGTGCCAGGCACTGATCCAGGCCCTACGAGTGTGCCAGGGCGTGGAACCAAGGTCCTTACTGCCACGGAGTTTACACAGTGGTGGGGAAAGTAGCCCCTACCATTGTTTCCAATGGAAACAATAGCTCAGAGCGCTTACGTAACTTGCCCAAGGTCACACAGCTGGCAAGCTGCGGAGTCGGGATTTGAATCCAGGCGGCCTGGCTCCAGTGTCTCACCCTCCCTGTCACACTCACGCTAACCCATTTAACCCCCCACAACAAATGTGTTCCGGTTTATTAGAGCTGTGGAGGCTAGGGTATTCCAGAACGGGAGCCTAGAACAATAGCAATGCCGTCCGCCCCCTGCCCCCTGCCCCTATTCACCTCTGAGGACACGACAGTAACGTGAAAGCAGATGGGTCTGATTCCCAGACAGTTACGTATTTTCTTCCCTTCTGTTCCTTCCCTCAGCCTCTCCGGATGGCTCGGCTCTCATGCTTCAGCGTGGAGCACAGCGTTACTTGGAAAGGCTGCAACGCCACAGCCAGCTTTGGAGGGCAGCTTAGGTGGCTTTCACAAGTAATTCTGCAACATGTGGGATTTTTCACATCACTGCTGCACTGGGAACTTGTTTCCCTGGAAGGCGTGTGTCCCCTGGGGCTGGGGGTGAGGAGTTTTGAAGTTTGGCATGGGAAGTCTAGGAGCCTGGTCACGGTGATTTGGAGTAGAGACGAGGACGGCGGAGAGAAGAAAGTCAGAGCCCGCCAAACTCCAGGCACAGGGAACAGAAGTGCGGGCCGCACAGAGATTTCCCCGCATCCCTCTCAACAGGAAATGGGGATTTCCATGCTACATCGGCAAGAAGAAGAACAGAAGGGAGGATGGAAGCTTATCTGGAGCCGCAGGGTCTGTGAAGGCCACTCTGCTGTGGTCCAGGGTATTTCCTGCCTCCTGAGGCCTCTGAATCCCTGGAGCACAATTCTCTAAGTCTCTGCCTTCCACATTCCTATGTAAGTTATTCTAAGACTCCTAGGGGGTACCTCATCTCCTCCCAGCCCTCCTACCTGCTCAATTCCAGTGACAGGGCCCTCTTGCTAAGCACCCTTCTTGCTAAGCCTTGAGGACGTGGGCTGGTTTCCACCTCAGGGCCTTTGCACACACTGTCCTTGCTACCTGTGATTTTCAGCCCCCAGAGTACATGGCAGCTCTTTCTTCCCCCCACAGGTCTCAGCTCAGAATCATCTCCTCAGAGAGGCATTCCATGACCACCACATCTGAAGTAGTGCCTCCCTCTCCTTCACCCTCTACTCCTCTCTCCTGATTTTACTCTCTTCCATCATTCTTCACCATCGTAATGATCTTGTTCACTTACGCTCCTTTCTGGATCATTGTCTCACTCCTCCCATGAACTCCAAACTCACTGGAAGCTTCCCCAGAGCAGGGTCTCACCTCTCTTGTCCCTCTCTCTATTCCTCCCTCCCATAACAGCATCAAGTACACCACAGGTGCTCACTAAGTATGGGGCGACCTGTGGAATGGGTTCTAGTTGCCACAGTACCCTCTGAGTCTCTCTTGGATTCCTCAGCTTTGAAATGTGGATAAGGACAGCTACCCCGCAGGGCAGGGAAGCCGTGAGGATTCACCAGGATGCTATACGCACAGAACCCAGCACCCATCGGCGCCAGGCCCCACGCAGGGAAAGGTCTCAAGGGGAAGGTAAAGCAAGTTCTCTGGCCAACCCTGGAAAGCCGGCCATGAAAATGACTCAAGGCCACAGGCAGCCTTGCTTTCTCAAGACTGCTGCCGAGCAACACGGATCCCCTGGTGGGGAGGGGTCCGAGCCCACCCGTGCCCACCCGCGCTGGCCACCACGCAGAAGGCCAGGTGGCTCTGGAGGAGGCACCTACCATCTGGCCCCCCTGCCACTCATCACCCAGCACAGAAGTCGCGGCCCCCTCTGCCACAGCCTGCATACTGACGTTTGCACAAAGAACACAAAACCTGCTAAGTGAACGCTGTGCTCTTATGGTCAGAAAAGCAGAGCTGAGAAAAAGAGTCTCCAGATGGAAGGCCTTGCTTGGCCTGGAGCCCCAAGGCACGTGGCCTCCGGGCTGTCAGGGTCGAGGTCCTAAAACATGGGGCGAGCTGCCTGCAGGAGTTACATTCTTGGTCTCAGGAGCAACCATGGGGTGCAACGCAAACAGCATCCAGAACAAAGTTTAAGAACTTAGAGGAATCATCTCTCCGTCTTTTTTTTTTTTAAACAGTTAAGATTTGAGAGAAGGAGGGCTTTGGAAGGGGGCCTCTGTTGATGCCCCTGCTCCCCTTCTTCTGGGCAACCATCCTGCCACCACCTGCCATAGTCTTGGTGGTCCTGTCAGTCAAAGTGCCCCGCCCTCCCCAGCAGCCAATCAGGCGCTCCCTCCCTGGGCTACTCATCTGCAGGGGAAGGAGGCAGAGCACTGACCTAGTGGGAATCCCTTCCCTCCGGGAGGCTACACCCTGAGTCCCTGCCCACATCCTTCCAGTAAATACTCGCTCTGTACAAGGTGACCAGCACCAGCTTCTGTTCTTTACAACCCAAGACCCACAGCTGCAAAAGGCGTCCTGCGGAGCCTAGAGTCCTGGCAGCTGCCTGTGCCCACGCACCTGGGTCTGGACCACTGAGAAGTTAAACTGTGTCTAACTGAAACTGTCTGAGCTGTCTCTCCTCCCGTTTCCGCTCCAGGGGCTAGGGTGGGGCAGCTGCAACCATCAGAAGGGCCAAGCCCTCAGAGGGTGACGATGGAGGGAATCTGGGTCCCGGAATAAGACGTGGAGCAGAGCTGCGGCACCCGGCCAGACTGTCCCCTCTGTTCTGTGTCAGGGAGAAATAAAGGATCCCATTTAAGTCACAGTCTTTGGGCTCCTTGGTTGCAGGATCTTAGCCTGCATCAGAATATACACTGCACAGGTCAAAAAGAGAAGAAAACACGATGAAACCCTTCAGGGGGCTTGAGAGCAGGACAGAGACTCGAGAGAACCAAGCTCCGGTGTCCAGCCTCCAAGAAGCTTCCTTGTTCTGGGTCTGGTCAGGAGAATGGGGTTTCGAGGGGGCCAGCCTCCCCCACCGGCCCTCCATGCCCAGCCGGCTTACCGGGGCCATCACCGGGCAGCTCACCTTTTTCTCATCCCCGCCTTGCAGGAGGTTCAGGGTGCTCCTCGAGTCACCCTCGCACTGCCTCAGGGTGCTGCCGTGGGTCTGGGGCAGGCCTGAGGGCGGGGAGATGCTTCGGCCCTGGGGGTCCACCCAGGTGTAGATGTGGTTGGTGACATAGCCCCCGGGGATGCGCCCCGCTGAGTACACAGACAGCACCAGCTTCTTGGAGCCCTTCAGAGCCTAGAGAGAGAGAGAGAGAGAGAGAGAGAGAGAGACATGTGAGTCAGCAGGAAGGGGGGCAGTGAGGGCCCACCCTCCCCACACCCAGAACTTACTTCTCTCAGGACCCCATGCATGGAGGAGGAGGCCAACCCCTGAGACCCTTTTTTTTTTCTCTAGCTCTCGGTTTTTGTCCTATGGAGACATCTGTCCCACCCCTGCCTTGAAGTGGTCCAAACATAAGAAATACGATCTCTCAGCACAGCTGTGCAGAAGAGTTAACACAGCAGGCTGAACACTGCATCCTTAGGAAGCCCTGCTTGGCTGGCATCTGGGAACCTGGATTCTGAGTGTTCCTCCTATTCCCTAATGGATAAGGCTGGTTCACCATGCCTGGGCTACTTGCAAACTATGGGGAGAGAGGGGGGTTCTGGAATGTGGGTCCAGGCAGAGGGGACCTATGTGACCAGACCCCAATAAAAACCCTGACACTGAGTCTCTATGAGCATCCGGGGAGACAACATTTCACAGCTCATTCCGTGCTCATCCTTCAGCAAAGGGAGACTCAGAAGCTTGTGCCTGGTTTCCTACAGGCTTTGCCCCCTGCACCTGCTCCCTGTGTTCATTTTGCTGTGTATCCTTTTGCTGTAATAAATCTTAGCCATAAGCACAACTATACGCTGAACGTGTGAGCCCTCACGGAACCCGGGCGGTGGTCTTTAATGACCCCGACAAGACAGTCAAGAGATAAAACTATGGATAATGAGAGCTAAACATTTATAAAGAGCCTGTCTGTGCAAAACACCCTGTTCTGTGCCCCACATGCTTTTATCTCCTGAAATCCTCATGGAATCCAATCTTCTTGGGAGAGAGGCCCATTACTCAGATGAAGAAACAGAGGAAAACCACCTGTCCACATAGCTAGCAAGGGCCTCCTTTTCCACAGCAACTAGTTTTGAGCGTGGATACCAACTTTATTCCACATTTTCTGATCTGGGAATGGAACCACCACATGGAGAGGTGAGCCCGGACTCTGTGCCCAGGGTAGAAGCTGAGACTGGCCATCCTCCTTTCCCACAGTGCACCTGGAGCTGAGATGAAGCCGTTTATGCAGGGACAGTCACTTAGCACCCGGATTAACAGCAAACCCTGCAACTGGGGGGCTGTGTGAGCAAACTGACAGTAACCTGCACATACGGAGCCCATGCTGGCATTATAACCACATTCTAAAAGTATCACAGAGAGTTTGTAATGCTGTGGATATGTGATCTGTTGTACTGCGAGATGGGGCCGAAAGGACACAAATTGTATCTTACCGTATGACCTCAGTTATGTTAAGATAAAAATCACACAGGAGTAATGGTGCCAAAATGCCAATTGTGTGTCTCTCTAGGCGGCAGGATTATGGGCGGTTATTATTCAGTCCTTCCCGTTTCTCAATATTCCCTGCAAGTTCCAGAATGAGGATACGTTGCTTTTGATAGAAAGTCCAAAAAGGGGGAGCGGAGTTCTTCACTTTCTGACCCCCCCCCCCCAAGCTTGCCCGGATGGGCCCCGTACTGCATTCTGCAGACTCCCCAGTACTCTGGACAAAGGGGGCCAAGAAAAGAGCGTTCCAGCACAGCAGGGAGCCCTGGCGGGACAGCCTCTGCTGGAGGAGGAAGGTTAGGCCGGGAGGTTCCAGGTCCCTCAATTCCACAGCTAAATGCCAGTCCCTGGTGGAGGCATAATGAGAGGATGGCAACTGTCCAAAAGGCTGCTTTTAAAATTTTTTTTTTTCAACATTTTTATTTATTTATGGGACAGACAGAGACAGAGCATGAACGGGGGAGGAGCAGAGAGAGAGGGAGACACAGAATCGGAAACAGGCTCCAGGCTCTGAGCCATCAGCCCAGAGCCTGACGCGGGGCTCGAACTCCCGGACCGCGAGATCGTGACCTGGCTGAAGTCGGACGCTTAACCGACTGCGCCACCCAGGCGCCCCCAAAAGGCTGCTTTTAAAAAAGATTTCTGAGAAGATGAGCAGGGAGAGATTTCGTGCTCTTTTAGCATTCCCCGGGACTCCCCTGACAGAACAGCTGGGAGGATAAAACCTGTGTTAAATTCTAGGGGGCAGGATGGAGAGGCTGGCGAGCAAGCAGGCTTCTGGGGAGCAGTGGCGGGGGGAGGGTCACAGGGCAGGAGCTGCCTCAGGAGGAGCCTCTGAGGCCACCTTGCCTTCCTGACCCCTCTCCCCTGCCCAGGGCTCCCTCCTCCACCAGGGTGCTGCTGGCTGGGGGCCGGTCCAACTGGCCTGCCTCTTCTCTGCTCCCTCCCCTGACGCACCGTGAGGCCGGGCCTACCATTCACTTGTGAGCCCCACCATTCGCTCCACAAGCGTTGACTGAGGGCCTACCGTGTGCCAGGCCCAGAGAGAACAAGTGGGCACATCCTCATGGCTCTTGCAGCCTGCTTCGCTCAGCAGGGCCTCAGAAAAGCCTGGTTGACCTGACGGGGTGAGAAAGTGCATATGTGGGCCCAGAAGAAACCGTAATATGCACAGGCACTGTCCTGCGGCCACCTCACTCGTCTGATGTAGACGACTAGGCCAGAATCAGAAATGCAAGGGAAAGGAACAGAAACTGTGGACTGATGCAGAACTGCACTGAAGCCATTTGTCTCTCACTTGTTAGTCATGAGTCCTTGGGCCGGCACCTCCTCTTTCCAAGCAGCGCCATGAAAGAACAATACCCACTTCTCAGGGTCCGCGGGGATTCAATGAGACCATGTGCATGAGGTCTGGAGCCTTTGCACACAGTAGGAGCTCTGCAAGGGGCAGAGCTCCCGCTCGCCTCTCTTTCCGGAGCGTCTGCATTGAGAAGGGAAACCAGGTGCATAAAAGCTTTGTCCAGGGACTTACACGAGAAGGGGGGAGGCGTGGAGCACAATATGTGTTCTGTACCTCTGGCAAGAGTGGAATTCTCTTGGTCAGTTCTATAAATAGGCAAGCAGCAACCTTGAGAACAGAGAGGAGGTTAATGCCTTTGATGAGAATGCCACAGAGAGCTGGCACCGGGGAGGGTCTAGGGGGCGGTCACCGAGTCTCCTGCGCTGCCTGCCTCCAGTGGTTTACAAAAGGGGACCCTGGGATCCCAACATGGGAAGGGACAGAGAGGGCACAAATACAAAAAACACAGCCAAGTTCCAGGAAGCCAGCCCTGGGCAAGCCCCCTCCCCTATGAACCTCAGTTTCCCCATCACAAGACTGTGGGGCCAGAAGATCTGATGGCCACTCAAGCTTCGACCATCCCAGAACCTCTGATGTTGGACTTTTGGGTAAATGTGGGCTTCCAGTGGGTCCTGGAGAACAAGAGTATCATCCTCCACTGCTGCCTTCTTTATTTTTTTCTGGTAAAACTGAACAAAAACAAGATTCCTGAAACAGCACTCGTGACATCTGAACAGGCTCTCGGAATATGGTCTGGGTGCAGTGACCATTGGAAGCTGCACGAACAGCTCCACCCACTGCCCTTTTTAGCTAAAACCTGAATGTGTCATGCGGGGAAGGCAATAGGGTGGAGGATGGTCTGAGAAGCTGGTTTCTGTCTTCTTAAGGCCTCTTTGTCTCCATTTTTACAACCAACCACTTGCTTGTTTTTAAGAGTGGCTTTGAAGGAGCGTCTGGGTGGCTCAGTCAGCTGGGCACCCAGCTTCGGTTCAGGTCATGATCTCACGGTTCGTGGGTTCGAGCCCCACGTCGGGCTCTGTGCTGACAGGTGGGAGACTGGAGCCTGCTTGGGATTCTGTGTCTCCCTCTCTCTCTGCCCCTTCCCCTCCACTCTCACTCTGTCTCTCAAACATAAATAAATGTCAAAAAAAGTTGTTTTTTTTAAATAGAGTGTCTTTGAACCGAGAAGTGAATTCCTAAAGAAAGCTGGCTGATGAGTGCTCCCCGGCTAAGCTGTGCACCCGCTCCCCACATGCACTGCCATCACCACCTCAGGTGCACCAGGCCATTCGTCTCACAAAAGAACTAGCAGATTCTCTGGCCACAGTGAACCTCCACAGCAAGCAGCTTAGGGGGCAGAGGAAATTAGAAAGAGCTCCTGCTGTGAAACAGAGACCCAGGCATGTCCCCGTTGCACCACTGGCTTGCTGGCTGGTCCTGGGTGGTTGGGGGCTATGTCTCCTCTCACTGAGCCTCGGTTTTGCCAACCGGCCGCGAGCAGGCTGAACTCACTAATTGCTGAGGTCCTGCCCCAGTATTAAACTTTAATGTCTCCTGGTTAGTGGCTACATTCTAGAAGAAAAGGTTGTATTCACCCACGTGACGGTCATGAGTCATGGCCGCAGAGAGATGCAGGAACAGAGCCCCGCCCTCAGCACGCCCCGTTTAAGGAGTGAGTACTCATGACTGCGCTGGCTGAGGTTGCTCCCAGGTCCTTGAACCAGATCTTTAGCCTGGGGGCTCTGAGGCTCCCTACCAGTTGGAAGGGACCACGAGGGTTTAAGAAAACACCAGAAGGACAGATGGAGCATCCGGTGTGGCAGGATGCACACTGCACCTCAGCACTGTCATCGGCAGCAGGGGACCTCCCAAGGGACCTGAGGGCTGGGGAGACGGTCTCCAGTGAGACGGTGGCTGTGTGTGTCTGATCTGGCAGGTACCGCCCGCCGGTGGTAAGTCCTGTGCGACACCTGACTTAAAGCAACCCGCATGCTCTGCCTGTGCCAGTTGGGGACTGTCAGCCATGTCCCTCTCCTGCGTGGCAACCCCCAGAATCAGCCAGTCTCCTGAACCAACTGCTCATTAGCTGTGTCACCCCACACAAGTTCCCGAACCTCTCTGTTCATCTGTTTCTCTCCTATCAAATGAAGATCATAATGCCACTCTCTCTTTAGGTAGAGGAGCCCGACAGCACCGTGCCTGTCACCGAAGAGTTCAAGGAGCTGTGGCTAAAAAGAAAAAAAAAAAAAGTGAGATCTAGGGAGAGTCCACCATAAGCAGCAGGGTCATGAGAGCACTCTCCTCCCACACTTGT